CGGTTAAAACTTGTTGGAGGTCACTCAGGGTCACGACCTTGACAACATGTGTCAAGGTCAAGGTCATCGGAGGGTGGTCCGTTATAATGCATAATTATCAACATTTTGTACTAAAAACGATCCACTCAAATCCTTGTTAAAATTTTGTGTTGAATTTTTAACATATCCGAATTTTAATTTAACATAATATGATTGTGTTATTTAAATATTTTGTGTTAAATTAAAATTCAACATTTCTCGGTGTTAAAATAACATACTTTATAGGTAAGTAAACAAATAACAATAAAACAAAATAATGTAGTTTTAAAATAATGTAGTTTTAAAATAAATAACAGTAAAATTAAGGCTAATGAGAGTCAGCACGGAAAAGGTGCGCATAAGTATTAATTCATATATACTTCCAATTGGTAAATGATGTATATCTTTATTTCGAAATCTTGAACGTTTTCACTCTCTTTGGAGTCATCATCAGCAGTTACACATAATTAAAAATCCATGTTGGTTGAACGATCTTTGTTGAGTCACTATCAGGTTCCCAAGATTGAAGTGGAATCTCAAACAACCGTCAACCCTGTTATGAGAGAAAGAGAAGTAATAAAATTCTCTACTCCATAAATTAATCGTGCTAAGTGTGCATAAGATGATATGTGTTCTTATTATGATTAATTTATGGAATAGAGAATTTTATTACCAAAGCTTCATGACAGGGTTGACGGTTGTTTGAGATTCCACTTCAGTCTTGGGAACCTGATAGTGACTCAACAAGGACAGATCGTTCAATCAACATGAATTTTTAATTATGTGTAACTTGCTAATGATAGTGAAACACTCTCCAAAGAGAGTGGAAACGTTCAAGATTTTGGAATAAAGATATACATCATTTACTAATTGGAAGTATACATGAATTAATACTTATGCGCACCTTTTTACCGCACTGACTCTCATTAGCCTTAATTTTATTGTTATTTATTGTAAAGTTTAAGAGTCCGATTTAAATTATATTTTGGTAGTTTTAAAACATAAATTCTAAGAATAAATAAATAAAATATGTGTGTTGATTTAATATATTATAAATGTTAATTTTATTGAAGAAATATGTTCTGTACAACTAGTTTTATGTGTAAAAAGGTACAGATATTTTGTATTATTTTCTCTTTGTAACAGTAAATATCTGTTAAATCTTTATATTGTATATATATTATGTTAAATATCACAGAGGCATTATTTATTATTTAATTGTTTATTATATGTCTGTTCAATTTGGTGTTTAATAATTTGTCATAGTTAACCTGGTAATTATAATGATAACAAAGCAAATTCAAGGATCGTGATAATCTATGCGGTTTGACATGTATATAAGTCCGATATTTTAAAAGCTATTAGTTATTACATATGTTTGTCTAATGCGATATTTAATATTTTGTCACAATTATAATGAAAATATGCTAGGACAACAAAATCTTATCACATCTACAATACAAGATACATATATGTTCGCAAAATTTGGTTAATATGTTAGTATAACTTAAGATCTCTAAAGAGTAATAATGTAATCTTACGGATAATGTAATCTTCTTCCAAATTCATCAACAAAAAAACTCCAAAAAACAGAGCGAATGAGAGTCAGTGTGGTAATTAATACGCAATCTTAATTGCTCAATCTAAAAATAGAATCTTTATTTCAAAAATAGTACGTTTTAGATCTCTAAAGAATAATAATGTAATCTTCTTCCAAATTCATCAACAAAAACACTCCAAAAACAGAGCGAATGAGAGTCAGTGTGGTAATTAATACGCAATCTTAATTGCTCAATCTAAAAATAGAATCTTTATTCCAAAAATAGTACGTTTTAGAGTTCACTTTGGAACCATCTTCAGCAAAACAAATTTAAAATATCAATCCCTTCATGACAAAGAAAAAATCATCAGATTAGCAGATTTGATGTTATAATCTATTCGAAACATTAAAATTATCTCATAAATATTTCTATTGAACAAGTTTCACATTAACAATAAAACTAGTGACCCCAAGACATAGAAGGAATTCGTCTCAACAATGGATCAACTAATTACAATCAATATTCACTAAAAAGTATCAAATTAAAAAACGCATGTTGATCGCAGCTCGAACGAAACATGACTAATACAGTTAAGATCTCTAAGTTAGTTTAAGTTTAATTAGCGATATTGAGAAGGATTCGAAGTAGGATTGAAACGTTTATCTTTGTACTTTGATAATTATGGAATAAATTTATCACACATGTACACCCAGTGTTCGGTTCTCATTAAGTATTTAATTACTTAATTTAAAATTAATTAATAGCTTTATAAGTGTTACTTTATCTTATTGTACATGTTAAATTCACTCACATAGAATATTTATGCATGTATATATAAAATACGTATAATATATAAATATTATGTGTGGATACATGAAATTATAAATGCCTATTTATTCCGAAATTTTATATGTTAATAAATAAAAGTAATTAATAAATAAAAACTTATACCTAGGTACATTTAAGGTATCTGTACCTAGGTATTTTATTTTTCTAGTACTTGTAAATGTACTTATATAGGTGCTTAAAGTAAAGTACACAACACTCATTAAGATTTGTTGTGAAATTCTGGCATAGAAAATAGGTCAAATATCACATTAAAGATAGATACATCCAATTATTTACTTAAGAATTTTTTTATATTTAATATCACAAAATCCTGAATAAAGAATATTATATTCTAATATTTCTTATATACACATATACTCCTAATATAATAAAACGAAATGACGCTGTACATTTGATGATGAGCACATTTTGTGTAGGCTTAGCGTTTTTTGATGGAGGGATGTCATAGATATCTAGAGACATGCGCAATAAATAATCGGTAAATACTTGCAGTTAGCTTTTAATAACGTTCATAAATGTTTTATTTATCATTTGTCTGCTGAATGTACATCGGAAAGGATTAACTTTGCGTAGTGAAAAAAATTTTCTTATTCATCAAATACGGGATCTTCTTCTTACAATCGAATTTATTCAATTTTGAGGTTTCTATTCCATTATATACGGATACTTTTATATTTGTCGAACATACTGTGTATTCTTTACAAGTTTAAATCTCTTTTATATATAAATATGATCTATCATGTCTCTATGATTATTACATTGAAAAGGCCGTAAATGTATGATTGTTGTAAAACACCCGATAAAAAATGTTTCATATATAATTATATAAAATTATATAAAATTGTATATAATTATATAAAAAATTGACATATTTTATAAACAATTATATATAATTATATGTATATAAAATATGTCCATATATGTATATATAATATTTTTTTGTTGGGCATATAAATCTGTAAACATATAGGATAAAAGTGTTGTGATAAGCAATTGAATTGCTTATCACAACATTTTTCATGCACTGTTAGATATTAAAGAAGCAACGTTCACATTAATGTAATTATAACTGCACATTAATGTGAACGTAGTTTACCATTGCTCATTTAATAACTAACAGTGAATAACAATTAAATCAAATAAAAATCAAGATAATAAACTAAATTTAAGTCAAATTTAATACATCGTTCTAAGTTATATTATTTAACTTTATTATATTTTTGTTAAATTAACAATACATTAAGTAAAATCAGCTATAAATATAATTAAAAATAGTTCAAATTGGATATAATTTGTTGTATCCAGATTTTCACAATGGAAAACGTTTACGAAGAGCAAGCGCAGCATAAGTTGAGTAATTATAAAAGTTTAGGAGAATTAATATGGATTACCATTAAAAGCCATGGGGATAAAATCGCACAAGTAAGTAAAAAATTATAATTTGGAATAATTGCGGAATCAGTCCTAACATCAGTAACAATTTGTTTTATTTGTCTTTAATATATTACTAAAGAAAAATATTATCTTAAAATCTTATTAAAAGGTAGTTCTCACAATTAGATAAATACGTTGAAACTATTATTTCGGTACATTATCTGAATATAATTTAACAGACGTTTTTAAAAGAAGAATTCATTTGTAAGACATTAAAACTTTAAATGAAGTTACTTAAAAACTAAGAGTACAAATAAATATTGTAGAAAAATAATACTTAAATTTTATCTAAATTTGTTATATATATATATATATATATATATGTATATATTATATAATAGTACTGATAAAAAATCGATACTTCAAAATTATAAATTGTTCTTTTAATTGCAAGTCTAATAACTCTGCAACATAACTAAAATTTTTTGAAACATTTTTATAATAATACTATGCAGTTGGACGCCCGCACTGAAGAAACGGTCACATACGCGGAGTTGCAAAATAAAGTTGTGAGATGCGCCTTGTGGCTACAAAAAAAAGGAATAAAATCTGGCGATGTTATCAGTATGTGTACAGGCAATCATCTTAATTCTATCGTGCCCTGCCTTTCGGCAACTTATATCAACGCTATTTTCAATCCATGGAATGAAAACATGGACTTGCGTAAGTTATTTTGAGCGATAATTATTATCAAATATTCGTTAAATTAGAGGGCATTAAAAATAATGCTTTTCTAATAATAATAATTCAATTTTATTTATTTTGTGTTAATTAAATATAATTTAATCATATTATTTAGTGTTTATTTTTTATTATTTATGAGCTATTTGTTATATCAGAAACTGCATTGTACTTTTTGCAACTGATGATGCCAAAGATGATCTTCTGTAGCGAGAAATCTGTAAATATCATTTTGAGCGCGGTAAAGAAGCAGAATTGCAATGCTACGGTAGTGGTTTTTGGTAAGCATGTCGACGCAGTTTCATTCTCCGATATCCTGAAAAATTGCAACGATGTGGAAGTGACTAATTTCCATTACATCGAGCTCGATAACATTAAAAAGACAGCGTGCATCATGCATTCGTCGGGTACTACAGGGATGCCAAAGGGTGTCGAACTGTCTAACTACGCTATGTTATTTATCAGCCTTCAATATGAAATAAACTTGACCGACGTGCCATCACTTTGGTTCTCTACTATTTATTGGATTACTGGGATATTGATGAACTTTAGCGGAATCATACAAAGCACCAAAGCAATTATCTATCCAGAATTTGACGAGGAGATGACTTGCCGATTAATCCAGAAATACAAAGTAATATTATTTTATCTGTGGAAAGTTTTTTTTATATCGAATAATTAAAGTAAAAAGAATTTTAATTTTTTGATTTTTTATTTTAAAAAGAGTAACTACAATAAGATACGTTATCACGCTTATCTAAACACTATAGATAGGTTTTATAAACAATTACAATATTTGCTTTAATTATTCGTAATTTCTGTGATAAAATTGAGTCAATTTATTGCATAATAATAATTATAATAGAGTTATTACAATAAAATTTAAAATTTATTATAATACGATGCTCTTAATTTTCTGCTTGTATTTGTCGTACCATTAATAATTACAAGCATTTTAATGAATAATGAATTAATGTTAAATTTTCGAATCAAAATAAATGCTAACTGTAAAACTAAAAAGAATGTATCATAATCTCATATCTACTAGTGTTGTAAATAACAAATTACTTTTTTTATTCATTTCTACATTTAGTGATAATAGATATTAAATAATTAAATAAAAATAATATTTACTTATTAATATTGTAAATTTTATAAATAGTTTTATATTTAAATGCAATTAAATTTTATATCATATCTCGACATAATATAGTAAAAGGATAAATTATTATTTTACTATTTAGATAGAAATTGTGTTCCTTGGTACGAACATGATGAATCGTTTACACCAATCAGATTACATACAGAAATATCCATTATCATCTTTGAAAGCTGTAATATTCGGTGGTGCATCAATTAGGCCAAAAGTGCAAGAAGAATTGAGGCATCTTTTGCCACATGTTCAAATATTGCAATGTTATGGTAAACATTATTAATGCAATAAGATATTAAAATGAGCTGGAATATATAAAATAAAATTCCCTAGTAATGCATATTTATTTATTGTAAAAAATTTTGTTCGTATACTTTATGTTCCTAGGGATGACGGAAGTCGGTACTACTATGACAATACAACTACCGAATCACAAAAACGGATCTTGCGGGGCAATAGTCAAGAATGGACAAATAAAAGTCATAGATCCAGAAACCGGAAAAGTACTTAATTCGAATCAGTCAGGAGAAATATGCCTGAAACTACCATCTATAATGACTGGTTATTACAAAAATCCCGAGGCAACAAAAAATACAATTGATAAGGATGGTAAACAGATTCCTTCTATCATAATAATTATAATAATATAATTATATTAATTATAATATGTTAATATAATTATATTAATTATTTTTAGGTTGGATACATTCCGGTGACATCGGTTATATAGATGAAGATGGAGAAATGTTTATTGTAAACAGAATAAAGGATCTCATAAAGTACAGAGGATATCAAATCTCTCCCAGAGAAATCGAGAATGTCTTGATATCGCATCCAGCAGTATCAGAAGTTGTAGTAATAGGAATACCTCATGCTATAGATGACGAACATCCACTTGCTTTTATAATAAAGCAACCTGGCGCTAAGGTTAAATTTCTTTAAATAAAAATATAACGGAATAGTGTAGAACAAAAATTTACTAAATGAAATCTATTTGATAATTGCAAACTGATTTAGCATAGTCCGAGATATTTCTAGAAAAATCTAATAAATAGAATGTCTTCTATAGAAGTAAAGGTATTGTTTTAGAGACACAATGAAATAATTAAATTAAAAACAAATTAAAGACAATAGTAAAATTACCACATTAATATGTTTTTTAATATTTTAAATAAATAAATATATATATATAACCAACATATAAGTTTCTATTTCCTTTATTAAATAGTAAATTAAATTAAACATTATTGCATATATTGAGAGAATATCATTACGTTTATACATTACATTTTTATGTAAAATAAGAAATTATTATTTTTAATAAAAAATAATTTTTTTTATATATTAAAATGATCTTTCTAGCATTGGTTTAATTTTCTTTGTACAGGTGATAGAACAAGAATTAATAGACTTTGTAGCAAAGAATATGATGGATCATTGTAAACTACGTGGAGGAGTGATATTCCTGAGTAAATTTCCATATTCAAGTACAGGAAAAATTGCGAAAAAAGATTTGAAAGCAATGGCAATGAAGCACAGTGATAAATTAATTTAAAATAATAAATAATATATATACATATAATAAAAATAAATAATTTTATAATAACATAAAATTTCTATGTGTGCATAATTGTGCATTATTTCAAAATGATATGTATTATAAATATGAATTATTAGTAATTTCATAAATAAGCAGAAAATACCTTTCCTTTTTATATATAAAAATAGTTTTATTTTAATTAACAGATATAATCTTCTTTTTTTATTGGGTATATTGTACTGTGTATACTTAAGTCTTTTCTAATTGAAAAATGAGTAAAAATTAACGTAACAAAATTATTTTTTTAGATATTTGTAATCTATTATGAACAATATTCAAAAATGTATAAAGAAAGAAAATAAAAAAATAAAGGCATAAAATAACCAGATCTTATTATGTACACAGCCTATCTCTGAGTTTTGGGATCTTTTTAAATATTTTGCTGAGTATAAAATTGAAAACTAATGGTCAGATTCAAAATAGAAAATATTTTTCAACATTAAAAAAAATATGAGAAGTTTTCAAATATTTAGATGGGTGCAATAAAAATTAAAAAAAAAGTAACATTTAGATTTAGATCATATTCGATGTACGTGTAAACTGAAATCGAGTGAAACAGCATTAAAAGTGGTTACAACCATTTAAAAGCATTCGAGTCTGTATAGCTACAATCACGCTATGTTTTCTCAAAACTATTAAAATGCAAGATTACAGAATATTTCGTACTTAAACTTTAACTGTGCGCACTTGATTTATAATTAACTAACTGCTAAATACGTCTATCGACGTATCTAATTAACATCGATCTAATTGTTATTTTTCTTTTTTAAGAACGAGTTATTAAAAATTGATAACTAAATTTATCAGTGCGTTCTAATATTAATGTGCTCCTTACTCTGATGAAATGAACAGCAAAGTTTACAAAACATTGACATTAACTTTGTATCATGATACGACGATAACCCGCAAACTTTTTGTCACCTCTGAAGAAAATGTCTGTGAAAGCTTCTAAAGTATTATTAATGATAATTATAGTTTTTTTTTTACTTAGTAACAAGTAATGGCAAAGAATTATTTTTAAAAAGTAACTTTCTAAATTTTGAAGCATATGTTATGGACTCAATTAAGAGCTTAAAGTCCCATCAAATTCTGCAATAAAGAAGATATACGTACATATGATTGCCTAATTGCAGGAGTCAGCGAAAATCAGTATGGCAAACTGGGATTTATTGGCAGAAGAAGCAAGTTTGCATTGCGTTTATATATTTATGGCAAAAGAAATAAGGTAAAAGTTATCACAATAAAATATCTTTCTTAGATAATAGATACTTTTTTTCTAAGTTTTACTTAGATCATACGAATATTACGATAAAAAAAGATAAAAACAAGAGGCAAATCATTTTTCGATTCCTGTTTGAATTATTCTCAGCAATAATTATTGGTCAGACGTTCAGATGAAATCAAGGCATGAGAATTGTATCAAATTAATAAATTAAATAAAGAATATATTTGTCCACACTAAATTATTCAATGTTTATATCGCTTATATTTTTATTCTTTACGTTTTATATTTAATAAATAAATAAGCTGGATACAATGTAACAAGTTCAAGTTCCATTTATTACAGAATATAGTATCGTTTCTAGCACGAGAATGTAGAGACAGGTTTTCTCTATCGCATTAATACAGTTTTATTTATTATAATTACAATCAATTGTTTAAAAAGTCGAAAATATTAAAGATGTAAAAAATGTACAATCTGATTTACCTTAAATAGAGAATCAGTAAGAAATATTTAAAAGTTAATAAGAATCAGTGAACAAAGTTAGTTAAAAATAATAACAAAACAGGTCAGTTGAAAGTAATTTGGAGGTAATCACGCACTTGTTGCATTGTTAAATAATTCTATTGCACCACTGCAAGTGCAAATCATTTCAGTCAATCTTTAGGTATAAAACCTGTATTTTATGTTTATGAGAAAAGAGAGACACTTTCGTCGTATCTAATATATAACTTCTTCTAATCAGTACTCCCACTCCAAAGTCTTATAGGCCTTCTACAATAAGCCGCAAGTCAGAAGTTCTAAGCGATCTTAAGTCATAATCGGTGAAGTTGGCCAATAGCCAACTTGAATGACTTGGTTAAGACTGGTTAAGACTTCTGACGTTCTGACTTGCGGCTTATATTGTAGAAGGCCTATTATTCTTAAGAGAGAAGAGAGAGCCAAAACAAACCCGCAATATTTAATTTATTATATTGAAAAATATAACAAAGTAGACGCATTTCGTTTTGAATATTAAGAATATTTTAAAAATATTTTTCCCAAGATAAGTACTAGAGAATGTTGAATAAGGAATATTATTGATTGATCTAATAATGATGCAGCAAGTTTATGATTTGAAGAATTCGTCGAGATACATCATTTGTAAAGGAAGGATATCGTAAATATTTCTACATACGTGGTAAATAATCAATGATGCATGTAATCAGTTTTTAACAATGTTTACAATTAGTCTCTCATTAATCAATTGTCTATTCATTCATTTGAGAGAATAATTTTCGCGCAGTAAATAAAATCTTTATAGTTATGGAATCTTTTCCATTGCAATCAACATTATCTATTCTTTTTCATTATATACCGGATATCAATATTTGCAAGCAAAAGTATTGTGTACATTATATTATATCACTATATTCTGGCAACAAGGTAAATCAGATTATATATTTTTTACACCTTTAATATATTCGACTTTTTAAACAACTGATTGTTATAATGAATAAAATTGTATTAATGTGTCGAGCAATATTCAATATCATATACCATTTTATTATAGATATGTAGACGATATCGTTCTTTGTTTACCAAATTCTAAAATCGATTCTATTCTCGAAAAATTCAATTTATTCCATCCAAGGTTACAATTCACTTTGGAATTGGGTGATAATTCTATCAATTTTTTGGACACAACCGTAATTTAAAAAAAAATAACTCATTGATATTTGACTGGTATCAAAAACCAACGTTTTCGGGAAGATTTTTGAATTTTTTGTCTCAGCATCCAATTTCACAAAAGAAGAGCATAATATTCAATTTGGTAATAATATTCACTTTGAAAGGTTATATGATATTGAAAGTTTATTAGTGACATACATACAATAAACTTTTATTTCTTCGTTTTAAATTGTTGACTAAAAATCGCATGTTTGCTAGTTTAAATAATTTATTCAAACTATTTTATATAGAATAAGTTGTTGCTTTGTAACTACAGGACGTATAATTTACTGGAATTAAGATGAACAGGGTGCATATTATTTCTGCATTTTTTATTACTTCTAAAATTATACAACATTATGTTACACTTAAGGACTAATTAAGTGATCTGTAAGAAGAAAGAATTTTACACATAACTGCGAAATGCGTCTGATGGCTGTACTTGCGTAATTATGATTTGCATTATATAGAATTAAAATATTAACATTGAGTGTGTTTAATGAACTGATTTCCGGAATTATGTTTCAAGATTTATAGACTTTAAATACTAATACTGAGAATGATTCGATTAAGAGGTCGAAATATTTGTTAAGACAAACATATATTGAAGAATTGTTTTTGGTTCGTAGCCCTTCTAAAGTACTCTCTTTATTTTGAAATTGTTGAGCCATATTATCTACTGCTTTTTTATATTTTTAATATTAAGAAGAATTGCGCTAATTGATAACCAGCGTTGACTCCTTATTGCCTGTATTGTATGTTATATGTTTTTTCTAAATTGTATTAATGTAATAGAGAAAACCTGTCTCTACATTTTCATGCCAGAATATAAAACATATTTACGTAAGAGATATTTTCTTTTATCAAAGTAATCTTATCAAGTAGCAAATAGTCGTAGTGTATCATCAAATACTTTGTAGTTAATATATAGACAAAGATTAATATTTCTGACGTAATATTTAATGATTTTTATTTAATTTAGAACATATAATAGATTATCAACAAAATTCTAAGCCATTCTTCAGTTTTTACATACAAAGATAGTTTTATGTATAACTTTATTCAGAATCATCGACATTTATTCTTTAAAATACAGATTATTATGTTTAATAACCATTCGCCAATTTACTAAATGTCGGAATTGATTTCAAGACCTTCCCTAATTTATAATAATATTATGACAGATTATTGCAACTCAAATATTTTAAATAACAATAAGAATTTTAGATAAATTTTAAAATATTTTACAGTAATAAAATATTTAAAACATTAATATTTGTACATTGTGTAATATTTAGAGTTAGTCAAAATTTCTATATTAACTTGTTTGTAAAACTTACTTAAAAACTACAAGTAATTCAAGGATACTAAAATTACAAATGTTAATAACAATGATGCAGCAATGTTCATTTGTGCATTGCTTGCAGACAACGTCGTTAGTGATAGAGGGAGAATGTTTTATAGATATCTAGAAATAGATACGTATGCGATGAGTGGCCAATAAATGCTCACAGTTAGTTTCTAACAACGTTCATAAGTGCTTCCTTGTTTGGTAAATGTTCATCAGAAAAAAATAATCTTTATATATTTAAAAAGTTTTTTTATTCACGAAATCTTCATTAATATTAATTTTTATTTAAATTTTGAGCTTTCTATTTATTATATACGAATACTTTGATATTTCTTGAAGGTACTGTGCATTTTCTATAAATTTAAATATGTTTTATAAATAAATATGATAATCTATCATGTGTTTCATTTATGTATTGATGTTTACAATAATTTACTAATTGTAAGGCAGCTGCGTATAGTAATAATATCTTATTGTTAGTAGCTACTTTTTAATACCTATTATTGATCACAAGTATTTTATAAATTATTGACAATAATAAATGATTTTATTAAGACCGTAATGTGAATACACAATAAGTAAAAATATTAAAGCCTATAACGGTCAAAGCTGGATATTTAATGAATTACACGAGCTTTTTGTTAAATTCATATTATAAATAACGATATACATGTCGATAATTGTTGTATACATACATCTGTTTTAAGAAGATGAACGCTCAAAATAGTGTTATATTTTATTCCATCATAATTCAGTTCTTACTTTTAAATGACTGGCAGTTGTTCTCAAGATTATTGGTGCTATTATGTTTTTTCCGTTATGTTCCATGTGACTAAGTTTTACAATGAAATCAGCAATCATATAATCAAGTAAAGGTAAAAGATTACATAAAAAGTAGTAAAACCGTCATTTTTTTTATAATAAAATTTATTGGTGAAACAATTTGCAGATTTAATTTCTATCAATAAATAAGAATAATGCTTTTAGAGAATTCTACTAAGAAAAATTAGTGAATAATGAAAATAATTGATAGTAACCAATATATTGTCAGTCTCATTTTAATTAAAATTTATTTCGGAAGAAAAATCACTTAATTTTTTCATATGTGCATTTCACCCCATCTTCCCCAACATACACAAACACATACGCACCTTCTATATGTATTTCTATATGTATGTACATATAATACATATGTATAGTAGTAGTTGCTTTCAATTAGTTTAGAACAGTTATAATTTATTTAGAACAGTTATAAAACGCTTTATTTATCCTGTATTGTAGAGTGACATTTTTTAATTATATTCAAGAATCTACATTTACGATCTGACATTCGTATATTTCTAGTGACATGGTTGAGAATAAGTTAAAGATAAGTGCTAAGCAAGCTTGATAATTTTGACGTCATTAAGTTTTTTATGCTATCTTTACAAAATAGTAAATATATGAGTGCTATAAACCGTATAAATTAAAGACAGCACAAAGGTATTGCGGTATACAATTAAAATAGTTATACCTATCTGTTACATCTAGACTTTTACCATGGAAAACAGTGTTTACAAAGGACAGATAAAGCATAATTTGAATAATTACAAAAGTTTAGGAGAATTGATTTGGATTACCATTAAAAGCAATGGGGATAAAATTGCACGCGTGAGTAAAAAACTAAAATTTAAAATAATTGCGAAGTTAGTTCTATACAATACTGTTTTTGTTGAAACTATATTGTTCTAAATCTTATTTATAAAAAAAGTGATGATAAATAAATAAATAAATACCCTAAAATTATTTCAGCAGATATTAATAATGATTTTCTAAGAGAGAAATTAACTTGTAGAAAAATAAAATTTGAACAAAAGTTACTTAAGTATAAATAATTGTAGATATATAATACTTAAATTTTATATAATTTGCTATATATAGTTTTGATAAAAAATATATGTTCCTGAATTATAAACAATTTTTTCAATTGTGAAATTAATGTCTTTGCAATATAGTTCATTTTTTGCGATTTTTGAAAATTTTGTATAATACTACTATGCAGTTGGATGCACGTACTGAAGAAACAGTCACATACGCGGAGATGCAAAATAGAGCTGTGAGATGCGCTTTGTGGTTGCAAAAACAAGGAATCAAATCTGGCGACGTTATTAGTGTATGCACTGATAATCATCTTAATACTTTTGTGCCCTGTCTTTCGGCAGCTTATATCAATGCGATCTTCAATCCGTGGAACGAAAACATGAGTTTACGTAAGTTCTTTTGTAATTATCAAGTATGTTCTCACATATTACATTCTATTAGATTAATTAATTGTAAATAACGTTTTCAATAACAACAATTCAATTTTATCTATTTTGTTAACTGGACATAATTAAACTGTACAGTATTATTTAACGTTGCGTTTATCTTTTTATTATGTATGAACTACCTATTTGTTGTATTTGTTATCAGAAACTGCACTGTACTTTTTGCAACTAATGACGCCGAAGATAATCTTTTGTAGCGAGAAATCTATAAATGTCATTTTAAACGCAATAAAGAAGCAGAATTGCAATCCCATGATAGTAACTTTCGGCAAACATGTCGATGCGGTTTCATTTTCTGATATCTTGAGAAATTGTAACGATGCAGAAATAATAAATTTTCATTACATTGAGCTCGATGACATCAAAAAGACAGCGTGCATTATGCATTCGTCGGGCACTACAGGGATGCCAAAGGGCGTCGAATTGTCTAACTATGCTATGTTAACTGTAATGCAACACCATTGGATACACATAACCAACGTGCCATCACTTTGGTTCTCTCCTCTTTTTTGGTTGAGTGGACTAATGCTGAACCTCAATGGAATTATGCAAAGCACCAAAGCAATTATCTATCCAGAATTTGACGAGAAAATGACTTGTCGATTAATCGAAAAATACAAAGTAATATTATTTGTTTTATGTATGGAAGCTTCCTTTATCAAATAATTAAAGTAAACAAATTAAATTTTTTTATACATCCTATTTTAAAAATGTGATAACTAAAATATGTTATAGCACTGGTAATTACAGATTTTCTGTGACAGCTAAGTTTTACAAGTAATCACAATGATAACACATTTACTCTTCGAGAACTCCTATAATAACATTGAGTCTATTTCTTTAAAGCAAATTATAATGTTGTATTTTAGGTGATAATTTACCGTATTAACTTGCGGTAAAAATTATTATACTAATAATTATAATATCAGCAATGCTTTGTCGTACGTTTAAAGGTTACAAATTGCATTTTATCAAATTAATATAGCAAGTTATATATTAATATCTTGCAAGATAAATGCAAATTGTAACTGAAAAAAAGAATGTATTACAATCGTTTATTTACTCATTATGTTATAATTGATTTTCTGGACATAATACGACGATAAAATATAAATTATGTTGCTATCTAGATACAAGTTGTTTTCTTTGGCACGAACTTGTTGAAGCGATTTCTCAGATCCGAATACATACGGAAATATTCATTATCATCTTTGAAAGTTATAAAATGCGGTGGTTCATTACTTAAGACAAAAGTGCAGGAAGATCTAAGGAGTATTTTACCGCAGGTTCAAATATTGCAATGTTACGGTAAATAACATTATAGTGCCATAAATTATATTAATATGCGTTATAGAATTTTCATTATATTTCTTATTCTAGGAATGACGGAAACCGGTAGTGTTGTAACGATACAGCAACCACATCATAAAAATGGATCTTGCGGAGTCCTAGCCGAGAATGTGCAAATGAAAATCGTTGATCCAGAAAGCGGGAAAGTACTTGGTCCGAATCAATCAGGAGAAGTATGGATGAAAGTTCCAAGTTTAATGACTGGTTATTATAGAAATCCCGAGGCAACAAAGAATACCATTGATAATGAAGGTAAAGATATTTTTTCTGTCAAAATAATTATTATTTAGGATTGTTACTTAGTACGTGCAAAATGTCTTAAAACAATTTACATTTATCTTACAAGATATTACTATGTAAATTTTGTGTTTTATATTAAATTCAAAAGATTATATTTAATAATATCTTTACCAAATTACATAAAAATCAAATTACATAAAAATAAATTCTTGGAATATTTGTAGGATGGCTGCATTCGGGTGATATCGGTTATATAGACGGTGATGGAGAATTATTCATTATAGATAGAATAAAAGAACTTATGAAGTATAGAGGATATCATATTTCTCCCGGAGAAGTCGAAAATATGTTACTATCACATCCAGCAGTGTCAGAAGCTGCAATAATAGGAGTCCCTCATACATTAGACGATGAGCACCCTCTTGCTTATATCATCAAGAGGCCTGACGCCAAGGTTCAATTTTTTTGCTGGAAATATAATGGATCATAAATAAAAAAATTTACAAAATAAATTCACTCTGATCAAATAACTGCAAACTAATTTTGCATATTCCAGAATATCTCTTTAAAAATCAAATAAATAGGATACAATTTTAATAAAAATATTTGTTTTAGAGATATAATTAAAAAAACATAAAAAATGTTTCACATTATTATATTAAAATTTTTAATATTTTAAGTATATAAAATCAACATATAAAATTTTATTTCTTTTATTTTATAATAAATCAAATTAAACAATCAAATATTGTGTATATTGAGTAAATGTCATTATTTATACAATATTTTTTAATTCGAAATAAGAAATCGTTATGTATTAGAACCTTTCTTACACTAGTTTAATTTTTTTTATATAGGTAACAGAACAGGAATTGATTGACTTTGTGGCAAAGAACATGGAAGATCAATGCAAACTACGTGGAGGCGTTATATTTTTGGACAGTTTTCCATATACCGCTTCAGGAAAGATTTCGAAAAAAGATTTGAAAGCAATGACAAGGAAATTGGTACAGTAAAATGACTGATTAAATTAATTCAGATAATTTTATAATTTTTGTATACAATAATTTTCAGAATAAAATGTAAAATTTATGAAATTGTTAAGTTATGAGACACATTCAATATAAAAAGCATGTTTAAATTTATACTTGTATGTAATAATTATTAATTATTAATTTTATTACATGTTAATTATATATAGGTAATTAAATGTGTAGAAATATTTGAATCCAAAAATTGTAATAATAAAAACTATTACATATATATATAATTTATTAAATGATATGTGTGTTTCCATATATCTCATTTATGCATATATGATGATAATGCAAAGATAATAGGCTATATAACTGTTATATTATTTTTAGAAATATTTTTTTTTATTATTAATATTTTTTAAGTATATATCTTTTCTAATATAATTTCTTATAAAATATATGTATAGAATTTGTTAGAAACAGACTTGATATACTCGACCATGTTCTTTGTTTCTATCTTAGAAAACAGTTTACTTTCGGTGTAATAATATTCCAAGAGCATTCATTACACTGGTTGTGTTCTTGATGTAAGGATATTCAACTTTCCCGCCTCCACCGATAGATATGAAAAAAATGCTCTTTTATAACTTGTATCGACCTTATAGATTATGTTGCAAAGACCTTATAGATTACTCTCCATCATCCTCGCCGATCTCAATCGATGGCCTTTTTATCTTTAGATACATGTTTTTTATTATTCATTATTTTTATTATCGTACAATTTATGATAAATACTACAATCTACACAGTAAAAAAATTTGTGTATTTGTGTTGGAAACGGTCCAGTCACATTTGTGTTAACAGTTTGTGTTGAATTTTTTAACATATTCGAGTGTTAATTTAACATAATGTGATTATGTTATTTAAAGATTTTTTGTGAAATTGATATTCAATGTTTTTTAGTGTCAAAAATACACAATTTATGAGTAAATAAACAAGTAACATAAAAATAATGTGTTTTAAACGTAAATTCTAAGACAAATGAATAAAATCCGTGTTAATTTAACATACCATTAATTTTCTGACAAAAAATATGTTTTCACAATTTGTTTACAAATTATGTCGACGTTATCTTTCTTTGTACTTATTCTCTTACATAATATTTAGTGTTACCTTCTAATATATTCATCTTGTGTAAAATTAATTTAAAAGTTTGAGTGGACCGTTTGGGACATGCAATTTATGTTAAATTCAACACAATTTTTCCAACTGTGTATTTACATTTATTTATAACATGTTGCAATTTATTTTACGTAAATAGAATCATACGGTTTTTTTCATTTAATAATACATGACATAAAGCGATTATTGCCAAAAATATTGATTATCTAGCAATAATCCCCAGAAAAATATACAACCAATCCCATCATTTTATGAGATTGTTCTTCGGATGTAAAATCAAATAACAAATCAACGATATATTAAATAAGAACAAATTTTACAAATGATACTTAGCAGCCAACATTATATTACTAAGAATTCAATAATAATTTAACTGATTAAATTACAAATCATTAATTTTTAATTCAAAACATTACGTATCATTAAACGTATCATTTTTAATTCAAAACATTACGTACCATGATATTATTGTATTATAGATTACAGATATTGAAAAAGAGTTAGCAAATCGTCAAACACAAAAATATGCCATCAATAATAATATTTATATGAAACTTAGTTAGCTTCAATTTTTCTAGTTTTTTTGGGATATCCACGTGCTTTTGCTTCTTTAAACATGGTCACAAGAGAATCCATAATCTCTTCTCCAGTCGGAATAATTTGATCAGCTGGCAACAAAAAACCGTAACGACCTGTATCACGTAACTCATAAGTGTAGGTGATAGGTGTACCATAAGTTCCTTTAACCCAATCCATAGAACCTCCGGATGCCACATCTGAAAACAATTTTACAAAAAGAGTAAGCTTAAAGAACCATATTTTTATATAAAATTATCTTAATTTAAGATTGTAATAATTATATCAATTTTACAACGTTTTAAGTATAATAGAAGTAAAAAATTGTCAACGATAAACCGTTCGAGAAACTAAAACGTATCTAGATATGACAAGACAGATTGATAGGTGGATCGATAGATAGAGGATGAGAAAAAGAAAGAGAAGACAAAATTAACGAAATTTTTTACGTACATATTGTCTCCGCAACATTTCCGACCGTATAATGAGTTCCATATTTCTTTTCAAGAGCTGTCGCCGTTTTCACACCAATATCATACTGAAAATCATAGAAATAATGTAAATAATACAAATATAATATAAATAATAATATAAATATATAAAGATATAAATTTGGTTATGTTCTATTATTTCTACAAATAATTATTAAAATTTTTTGGAATAATGCACGATGTTTAAAATACTTCTTATAAATAATTACGTTTTTATCTAAAATAATTTATGCAACAATAATAAATAATGTACGTGTCGATAAATTCTAATATTCTTACGGCACTGCCTCGGTGGACTGTAACGTCGAAATCGGAAATTCACCCGAAAACACTGTGCTATCAACGGATTGCAAATTGATAATTATATATTGTATATCCAATTATTTGCATTTACTCATAATTCAGTTGATAATACTGTCTCACTAATGAAGATAGTACTGATAATTACAGAAAAACTGATTGTTTTAATACTATTCCCTATAATACATAATTATTTTATTATGAATTTTTCTATTATGAATTTTACGTATAATGAATTTCAAAATTATATTTATTTTACTTGAGAGAGAGAGAGAAAGAGAGAAGCGCTCTCAAATTAAAATTATAATTCAATAATTATACAAAAAATAAAAGAAACCAGTAATTTAAGTCATATTAATTTTTAATATAATTTGTTTTATTTTCAATACACTGGAGTTCCAACATATTTTCTTCCTTTTATATATTTCTCAAGAAAAAATATTTTGGGCTATTGGTTAACCCACTCTCAAATACTCGCAATGATCTCTGCACTAAAAATAAACTTTTATCGATCTTCTTTAGAAACTTTATTCCATTTAAATATACAAATATCCAATAACATTGGTTTCTTTCATTTTTTTTACTAATTATTGAATATTTTTATTTTTACACTGAGAAAGACGCAATTGAAAGGGTTGAAACGTTTGTCAATTTTTCTCAAGAATAAAGTATACGATTTCACACGCCTGACCTGTGTTGGCTCGTATTGGCTGACTTACATCTATCCTTGGACTAATTATTGAATTATAGTTTACATTTGAGTACTCTATAATTAAAATTACTATACTTACCAAGTCGTTATAGTTATCAAGGTGAGCCGTTGTGTGACCATACGGGAACAACAACAGTTGCGAGTAACTATGGAACGCGATATATGCGTACAATTTGCCGGAAATAGAATCGATATATTTGGACATGGTCTTTGTCTCAATTTCGGAGAATGGTGCATTTCCAGCATAGGTTTCGGAACATGCAGAATTGCTAGAGCCTCCAGCTGATAATATCAAATTGTATATAAATATATGTTTATAAATAATACTAAAAATCATCGCGCTAATTTCCAAAATCTATAAATTAATTTCGACTTTTTATTAGATAATATTTAATTTTTTACTATTACATGGAACAGTTTTCTAACATAATACAAATTCTTACTATTCCATTTGTAACCCCAGTTTCTGTTGGGATCGCTGCCATAACAGAAGGAACTATACTGTTTACGTGTTTTTCTCCATAATCGGTTCTAAAATAAATTAAAAATATTCGTATAATTAATTTATAATTAGCAAAGAATGCTCTATGTGATATTATAAAATGTAATTTACTTTGGTGTGCGTGTACACGTATCCGTCGGGATTGAACGATGGGAAGATATACCAATCGTGGCTCTCAGCCAGAGCTCTGATCTCTGAATTGTCGCTTTTCAACAATTCATGCAAGATGTACATGACAGTTGCTACCGAGATCCATTCTCTAGCGTGAATACCACCCTCAATAAAGACTCCAGGATTATTAGCTTTAAAGGAAACTTTGACGCCTTTGATTTGACGTCCCTCATAAGTCTGGCCGCCCACAACAGTTTGCACAATTTTGGGATATTGTTTCGCCAAGTCATCTAGATTCTTGTTAATTACGTCTAATGTGTGATAGTTTTTAAAATCAAATGTCGACGATGCTCTCGCGGGAGCTGCCCGATTAATTAATGCCTGAACATTCTCAATAAAAACTGTATAGGGTATTTGCATCTGCTTCATTGTTTCATAGAATTCAGGCAGCTTGTGCGGAGCTACCATAAGTTCCGCTTGTTTATTCGCAAACGGTGCAATCCAGTAGGAAAACTGTAAATGATGTTTAATACTATTTATTTAATAGCAATAATAATTTTAGTTTAAAAAATTACTTACAAATTTGTCAGTTTTTATAACTTTTAAGTGTTACATAATATAATAAATAATTTAATAAATTTATAGAGAGAGAGAGAGAGAGATAAAGTTGATTTGATAAATTTTATAAATTTGTGTATATTATATTATTTTTATGAGGTTTATTTTTTTTAATTTTATAGATAATATATATATAAGTAATGAGCAAAATCTCCTGAGTCGTCCATTTTTAACCAGAATTTTTTTTCGGTGATGTTATACAAGGTATATTAATTTACTTTTACTTGTTTTTCTGCTTGAAAAATCTACTTACTCCATCATGATTTTTTGTCAACTCGTAAAACAATTTCGCCTGTCTCCGTGTAGTCGCATTAAATCTGATGACCTTATAATTGTTAAAAGTAGCCTGCTCGGCAGCCACAAAGCCCACGATCGTGCAGAATACTAATAGCTTCCACATGATAATCAGTTCCCTGTAATTTTAATGCACGAATATCAATTTTAATTAATATTTTAAGGTCACAATTACAATAAAAATTTATTTTATATTATTTTATATAATTATAAATTAAATTAATATTGAATTAATATGTATTATTTTATATAAATATTATTTCATTATATATACAGATATAATGTAACTTAAATCCACTTACGAGCAAATATCAATTGTGATTTAAGCAATAAAACATGTAATTCTTGTATGAACAATTTATATCTCAAGAAGAGGGCTCACTTTTCTATAAAACGGTGCACTGGTAATTACCGATATTATAAAGTTCATTAATTTAAATACCTAGTTGCACACGGCACTAAACTTCCATTATCGCACTAATATAATTTACTATTGAAGTTTTGACGTAGAATTTTATACAGGGTGAGTCAAAAATAAAAGAACCTCTAAATATCTCGGAAAATATAAGTTTTACAGGAAAGTGTTTCAAACAAAAGTTATACGATTTAAGAAGATCTTTTTACTGACCTTATCCGTTTGACTTTAGTGGCGTGGCCAAGGTTCAAGATCAAATCGATTTTTTTAAACGAAAATCCTTATTTTTCATTGTATATTCTTGTAGTTTAAGAACTTTTCAAAACACTATAATAAAACATTTTTCTATTAACTACTGTTTGAGTTATAAGACATGAAAGTTACAATGTCGCTAGCATTATCTATGGTGTCCAACTGACGGTTAAAACCTTTCCAGTATTGTTCAGAATTATGACCTTGATAACATTTATTAAAATCATGGCTTTTTAAGGTTATTCTTATTCTTACGCTAAAAATTTTCTAAAAAGTCCTTTTGCCTCATCCTGTACATTAAACATACATTTATGTACATCTTTTACAAGTCTTTTATATCAACACTTGTATTTGCCATCTGTATACATATTTACTTGTACACTTATTAATCTTAAGATGACCATTTTCTTACGCAATGGAAATATTGCTACACAGAAAAAAAATGATATTATTTCAACAGCATTATTTTAATTAAAAATAATCTTATGATTTGACAACAATATTAATGAAACAAACAAAATTTTATTAAAACAAGAGCATAAGTGTTTATTTTATTAATGGTGTTATTAAATTAACAAAATTATTTTCAATTAAAATAATACCCTAAAAACATAATATCATTTTTTTTTAGTGTAAGAGCATAAAATTATTAAATTATTTATTAAATTATTTAATTTATATGCAGTTATATTTAAATAAATTTTTTTAATTTCCATATATTAATTATTGTTTTCATATACAGGATGATCCATTTTAATTAATCCACTAGAATATCTCAAAATCCTTAGAGTTAATAACCAATTTCTTTATCACTAGACAACTTTATTCATGAGCTATGTCCTAGATATCTCATGAATAAATGAGATATCTGGAAAAAATCTCGTAGATAAAATTGTTGGCAACTTATCTAGAGGTGAAGAAATTGGCAATAAGACAAAAATGTTTCAGACAAAAGTTGCTCGATTACTAAAGGGAAAGAAGACGATGACATTGATTGATCTTGAGAAGATGTTCTTAAAGTCAGGTCAATATTATTTAAAATTTTTTTTAATAAAATCACTATTTTTTATTTCATGTTAATAGATACTTCAAAACATTTTTAAAACACTATAATAAGGTATTTTTTCATTAGTATCATTTTTTTTTTCAAAGTGCTTTTTAAATTATAATGACTCGTAAATTATAATGAAACTGACCTCCCAATATTAAAAAATCGAATATTTGTGTCACACATTTAATTATTTTTATAAGAGAATCTAAAGTCTCTTCTCCAGTTGGAATGATTTGATTAGATGGTAACAGCCAGCCGTAACTCTATACGTATTTCTATACGTACTGATATACTACAGGCCTGTTCTTTATGGCTGAACTTTTGCACCAGTTTCATCTTTCTTCCTTTTTTCTTCAAGAGGAGAAATATAGGAGGATATACACGTATATTAAAAAAATACTCAAAAAATGCTTAAAAATGAAAATGCAATAAAATTGATAAATTATTAGATAAATATTATATTTTCGGTTGTAGTCATAAAAATTAGTATAATTCCGTATTTGCGTAGGAAATGTTATTTATAATTTTTTAAAACAAAGCAATATTTTCAGTTTGAATCCTGTATTTTTTGTACCTTTTGATATTATATATAGCGTTATTTTAAAAAAATGTTTTTAAATTTTAGAGTTCTGTATAAGCAATATATATCAGTTGTTGTATTTAACAGACGGATCATTAAATGTCAATTATGCAATTTTCTATTATTATAATTTATGTTTATATATAAACAGAATATTCTCTTAAAAATAATAATTCTTAAATATTGTTATATTGATCTAAATAGTTTAGTCTTATTATGAAATCATCAGCATTCTTTATAATCTATTATAAACAGAAATTATTTATTAAAAGTAATTGATTTCAACAAAAGTTGTATATATTAAAATAAATAAATTGAAAATTTTATTTAATAATTAATTCTACTAATAAATGTCAAAAAGCAATATTGTAAAAGGTAATCGGGCTTTTTTGTATAGAATATATACATATATATAAGTAATGTCGATGATATAAACAACAAAAACACAGAAAATTTAAAACATCTTACATAATTAAAAACAAATCGAAATCTATTTGTTATTATTTGATGGATTACTTGTAAATGTAATATTAATTGTCATGTATTAAATAAAAATATATAACAAAGAAACAATAAATTATAAAAATTTAACGTTTCAAGAATCAGTTGCATTTGGCAAATTATAATAATATGACAATGTCTCATTACATATAGCTATAAAAAAGTCAAAAGTTTCCTTTCCAGTCGGAATGATTTGCTTGGATGGTAACAAGAAGCCATATTCATTTTTATCATGCAATTTGTAGAGGTATACAAAGGGTATGCCGACAACATTTGCGACGTAATCTGTACTAAGACCACCCGATAAAACTAGAAATTATTTTATATTAGTTATAAGAAGCAGCGTATCTTGTAATTTAATAAAAAAAAAATAAAATAAAATTTTGTTTCAAGTGTATCTAAATATACATATATTTAAAAAGAAAAAAGAATTAAACGTTATACTGATTTTTATAAATATTATTATTATGAATTAGAAAACGAGAAAAAGTCTTATTGCAAGATAAATTATACTAAACAATTAAGTGTTCTTACGTTGGAACTTGGTAATACATCCGGTCTCATATTGAGTATTGTATTCCTTTTTAAGAGCTTCAATTGCTATCGAGTTGATCTGATACTGAAATCATAAATATTTTATATTAATTTCTACTGTAATATTTAATTATATTATTAAATATGCGAATAATATAACACTATAAATTATTAGGAAACGAACAACTTTTTAAACTTGTTTAATACAAAGAAGTTATGTAAACCCATGAAAATCTATTCTATAATTCTATAATTTTATTTCCTTTTTACAGCGATATTTCAAGGATAATATTCTTTTTTAATAAAGTTTTTTTACCAATATTACATAGTGGGGGACATTTAAATAACTGCAAGGATACAGCAATTGCTGCCCATAGCTGTGGAACGAGATGTACGCGTAAAAATGGTTAGATCTTATATAATGAGACATGTAGCTCGTTTCTGGTTCTGAGAATGGCCTTCCTCCAGGATAAACTTCGCTGCAAGGATCGTTGCTGACGCCAGCAGCTGAGAATATCAAATTGCAATACATTAGATAAATTTTAATTTTACAAGCTTTTTGAAGCTCCTAAAATATGGGTGATGTCTCAAAAATCGTTCACTTCCGATTTCGACAAAGGTTTGTAAAAAATTTTGAATTAAAAAATCAAAGCTCTTAAAAGGTTTTCTGACGACTCCTAAGACAAAGCCATTTTTTTAAAGATAAAATAATAAAAACAATGTATAATTATACTGATCAAATCGCCGATTTTAATGACCTTGAAATATATTAGGGGAAGAAAGGTCCATGGGTTCCAATTTTTCACATAAAGCGACATCCACTCCCTACTTATAGTGCGAAGTGAGACCTATAATATAATTGTTCAGTTCCACATAAGGGTTTCTATTTTTTCCCGCAAATCCATTTCCGATTGGAAATTAAAATTTGGTTCGGGTTAAATTACATACACCTTTCAAATACAACCTCTACGTAGGAGAGGGGGTAAAATAATCTGTTTCGCATATACTTTCCACGAGAAACGAAATTTGTTCCACGTCTTGCTTACAATATGAAACGAGATCTATATAATTACACGGATTCACATTTTATCTTAATTTGAAAATGTTCAATGCTGTTCCTTCATACTTTAAAGTCAATGAAATCGGTAATTTTGTCATTACTACAAAGACTTTGCTAATTTTATATTATTTTATCTTAAAAAATGGCTTTGACATAAAAATCGCCAAAATCCCTTTAAGAGCTTTTATTTTAATCCAAAATAAAGCTTTTTTACAAAGTTTCATCAAAATCAGAGGTGAACGATTTTCAGAACATTGTCTCAAAATATGAACTTTAGATATAACACTTTTTATTACTTATTTATTTTTTTCTATTTGCTAAATACTTACTACTCCATTGAAATTTCCAATTTCTATTAAGATTCGATCCAGTACAGAAAGAACTAGACGGTTGGCGATTTTTCGTCCATAATCGATCCTGAAAATTATTAAAAAAGGTCCACTTATGTAAAGTTTCAATGTACAATTAAAATTAAATAATATATATTAGATAACACCGTGTGAAATAAATTTTACCTTAGTAAACGAGTACACATATCCGTCAGGATTGAATATTGGGAAAATAAACCAATTATGATTGTCAGCTACATATCTTACATTCGTATCATTACTAAATAATAATTGATGCAAAATGTACATAACAGTTGCCGGCGAAATCCATTCCCTGGCATGTATACCGCCCTCGATGAAAATTCCGGGTCTCGTTTTATTAGACATTGAGACTTTTACGCCTTTGATCTCGCGTCCTTCGTATGATCTGCCACCCACGATAACCTGCACTTGACCGGGATATCTCTTGGCCAGTTCGTCTAAATTATCGTAGATTTTTTCAAGAGTATGATAGCTATTAAAATCAAAGTTCTGTGATTGACTCTGGGACATTGTATTGTTGATTAGTTCTTGAACATTACGAATTTGGAGTATATGGAACATGTTATAATCGTTCATAATTTCATAGAAATGCGTGAGTTTGTGCGGAGGTACCAGAATATGCACTTCTTTGCCTAACCCAATTGGTTCTTGCCAATAACGGAACTGTAAATAAGGTTCAATTTCGCAATTTTGCTTAACTGAAATTTAATCTTAAAAAAACTTATTGAGAAAATATATACATATTTCTTAATTCTATTCTTGATTTCGTAACACTTTATTTATAAGTTATTTGAATATCTATGAAACTGATTCCATTATTTCGAATAAATGTATAGAATATATGAAGAGAAAGGTCAATAACGCCTTTTTTTGGCTTGAATCAGGATTTTCAAAAAACAACTTCTTTTGCATTGAGAATAAAAATAACCATTAGATGGGAAATAAACGATCCGTGTAAAGTCATAATTAGTTATTAGTTTATAAGGTATACCACCATGATATTTAAGTCTTAAAACCATCGAATTCTAAGCAATTATCATCAGAAGATGCTTAAAAGTTACGTTCGTAGTATTTAACATAGCAAAAAATTTAAAATTAAATTTAAAAATAAAAAATGTAATTAAAAAGCAAAATAAAAAAATAAAACAAAAAATATTAAAACCTCTACAACAATCATCTTGATAATGTAGGCTGTGTAGATGTGTAAGCAACTACAAGTAATCACCTACTTGTTATGAGTACACATAAGTAACCGAAAATTAATTTTTTTTACTGAGATATGTTAATCTTTATTTTGAATATGATAAATATTTTAGTCTCTAAAATAACATTAATATAATTATTAAAGTAGCAATATAACGAATAAAAATGTTTTATTAGAACATTCATTGAAAAGAGCTTAGGTATCATAGTGGCATCTATATCTAGACTATTTATTACTTATGGTTTTATATGGATCAAGTTTTTTTCTCTTAATGGTTATTGTTGATATTCCTAATACTCATACAATACAAAATATAATCATTTTTTTAAAATTCTAAGTTGACCTAAAAACGACTGATTTTCTTCCTTTATATTTTGAATATTGACTAACAAAATCAATTAGTGTGAAACTAATTTTCTATTAAAAGAAAAAAATCTCTGCATACAAATTATTCATATCTTTATTTTTATTTAAATAGTATATTTACTTCGTTCGAGTTTTTCAAAGCTTGAAGTACTTCCAACTGCAGGTATTTATCCGGCCGAATCCTGAAGACTTTGTAATTCTCGTAAGAAGTCATATCGTTAATAACATTATCGGCAGCTATGCCCATAGTACACAACGCTATTATCTTCCACATGATGACTATATACGAACAGATTTCTCATAATTTATGTAGTGATTATTTTTTTCGATTATAATATTATATATCATGTTTGAGATATGATTAATCACAAACAATTATTTTTATTAAATATTCATATAATATCTACACATTTAACTCTTTACAAAAAAATCGATACACTTGTATATGCACAAAAAAACATTTCTGTCTTACGGTTATCTTTTCATTCATAATAATAATTATTATTAAAACATTACATAAAAATCACATCTACAATAGCATATCTGAGAAAATATTATATCTTTGTTATAAAGTAAAGAAATAATTGTTAAATTGATTCATGAATATGCATCACCATTTATTTGATATATATATTTTGAGAAAATTATATTATTTCTTAATATTATATATATAAGTATACATATATTTAATATTAGCCAACAATAATTTTAATAATATATAACAGAATACATTATTAAGATTTGTATATCGACATGTATTATAATTATTTAATAAAAATAAATACAGGTATTTATAATATTGTCGATGTAATCACAATGCACGACAGTATCAAACATATCTACATTTAACTCTCTCAAAAGAACTCAAATTAAGAATATTTATTAGATAAAAAAAATTAATCAAACCTGCTTAATCTAAATAAATATTGCGTTAGACTTGAAATAACTTATGCCTGTAAGTTAAAATCTAGCCGGACACAAATCAATAAGACAATCAAATGGATCAGTGAACTGTTCCGCACTTCAACGATCTAAACTGATCATACAAGTATATAAACCGAGCAAAAGACATGTTAATCACGGATAATGTTACAAAACAAAAATATATGTACGTAAATAACCTGTTTGTGTTTAAAATGTTCTTGTGACATTGCCTACGATGACGCACAAAATCCACCGAATTGCTCTAAAAACAGATAACAAATTGTAACTTCTCAATAATAACGTCTCAATAATTAAATTAAAATACATTAATAATACCATATTCATTTTACATTAGAATCTGGAAATTCTTGTTCTACTCAATTCGAAACATTTCAATTGTTTCATCAATTACGTATTAAGATGCTCACGAGCAAGATGAAAGGGAGCGTGATTTTTAACTAAATATATGACAGCGAATTTTATTTTTAAATTTATGTTACTAATGCGGTTTTATTTGTATATTTACTGAAGATGTCCAGATATTGGCCGAAACGTCTAAGTTAAATCAGAACCGTTGTAATATATTAAATATCACAAAAAAGAACCCGCGCCGTGCAGTGGTTTTATGCTCCTCTCTGTCTCTCTTTTTCGTTAAATTTTAAATAGTCTTATTTTTTCTCTCCGAAATCCTTAGTATTAATGTGTTTAACAATTAAGTAATGTATAACGAGTTAAAAAAATATTCTTTGTACTTTTGTCAATATCAACAGATGTAAATTTAATTATGTAGATTATGCAATTTACATGAAATCTTGCAAGTTTAAATATCATTCTTTTTCACTGCTCAATTGTCTCTTTATTATGAATACAATAAAATACTCGTAGCACGAATAAATGTCTAAATAAAAAATGCAATAAAATTGATGAGTTATCAATCAGAGATTTAATATTTTCAGTTTTATATATATATTCGTAAAAAATACGAAAATAATAACTTTCAAGAAAATAGGTTTATGATATTTATTGTCACGTTAAGAATGTTAGTGCTTTTCAGAATATAACCTGTAAACGGGTTTGAATTGTGTATTTTGATTATAATTAGAATACAATTATATTAATTAAAAAATTATATAAACACATAATTTTAATTTTATTTGTGGTTTTATACATTTTAATTTACAATTTATTATCTATGTATAAAATTGATAACTGGATCGTTAAATATCTAATATTATTGGTAATTATTAATACAAGTTTATTTTTATATATATAACCAAACTATTCTATTATCTTCTTAAAGATAATAATTACACACCATTACATCTATATAAATAATTTGCAAATTATTGTACAAAGAAGACATTTCTAATTTATTGCAAACAGAAACAGTTTATGTATATGTTGATTTAAACAAAAATTATTATTGTAAATATTGTATTATTGAAAGTACTAAAGTAAATAAATTAAGAATTATGTACAATAAATAATTCTAATAAAAAATGTCAAGAAGCAATATTATAAAAAAATAGATCGAATTTTATAAGATTCGATCTATTTTACTAATAATAATGACAAAAGCATAGAAAATTAGAAATTTAGTAATAAGTACAAGTATTAATCAAAGTCTATTTGACATTATTCATTCATATATTACATGAAAATGTAATATTCGATATTTATCAAATAAAAATATGTAATCGATGATAATAAATTATACAAATTTAATTATTTTTAGCGTAGTCAAGATGAAATGATTAGTTAAACATAGCTACAAGAGAGTCTAGAGTCTCCTCTCCAGTCGGAATGATGTACTCAGGTGGTAACAAGAAGCCGTATTCATTCTTATCGCGCAATTTGTAGAGATAGACGACGGATTTATTTAAAACACCTGCCATGTAATCTACACTAAGACCGCTCGGCAAATCTAGGAACGATTATATTTTATATTAGTTATAAGAAGCAATATAATTTAATTTAATTTAATAAAACAATATAACAAGTATATGTTAATTTTACATATATACACATATATACACATATATACATATATGTATGTATACAAGGTGTTTCTCAAACAAGAATCTCAAACACAAACTTCAGGAAATGGTAGATCTCAATCAAAAGAATCAACTTTGTTTAAGGAACTCAGATTCTCCGACATATATCTTTAAGAAGCTATTCATCTGATCGTATATGACATCTGATAAGTTTATGTTTTTTGATTCCGTTTTTACAAAAAGGCAAATAAAGTAAAAACTTGGACTATAGTATTGTCAGACAACACGCGCAATGCTGCCACGCGATCGATTCCGTATCTCATAAGTCATAATCAATTCAAACGAGGATAAATATCTTCTTAAAAATATGTCGAAGAACACAAGCACTTTAATAAAAGCTTTTTTTTTATGAGATCTACCATTATCTGAAATTTGTCTGAGGTTCTAAAATACCTTGAATACAAAGAAAAAATAAAACATTATTGTAAAGTTATTTTTGTTAATACTGTTATGAAGAAACAATTATAAGATAATTTTTAAACGCGATAAATTATTCGTTAGATATAAATTAAAGTATTCACATACTGCTAAAAAGCTCGCCAATATTTCCGGTTCTATACACAGTGTTATATTTCTGTCTAAGAGCTTTGATTCCTTTCAAGCTGATATTATGCTGAAATTGCAAACATTACATTAATCCCTATTATAGAATTTAATTATCACATTAAATGTGGAAATATAAACACAGACATAGCACTACAAGTTATTAAAAAGTGAACAACTAGAATGTGTGTTTAATGCAAAAAATCATATACAACCATGAAAATATTTTAAAACAATATTTCCCTTTTATCACAAATATATATATTTCAAAGACAATATTTCTTTACTAATAAAATTTTTTACCAAATGATCATAGTTGAAGATATGAGCATTTGTATAACCATAAGGAATCATTAATAGTTGGCCGTAACTATGGAACGCGATATAAGCGTACAATTGGTCGTTCACGGATTTTATATATTCAGACATAGTTTTCGTTTCTATTTCTGAGAATGCTTTATTCCCAGGATAAGTATCACTGCAAGAATTTTTGCTGACATCAGAACCTGAGGACGTAAAGTTACAATGTTACGTCGAATGAATCTCAATATTATAAGCTTTTCAAGCTTCCAAAATAATTTTAATTTTCGATAACTCTTTTCTATTATTTATTATAATCTTCTCTATTCACACTAAATACTTACTATTCCATCGAAAATCCCAGTTTCTATTGAGATTTGCTCCAATGCAGTAAGGACTGTACGGTTTGCGAGATTTGCTCCATAATCGATCCTGAAAATCATTAAAGATGGTTCACTTGTATAGATAATTTTAATTTGTAATTAAAATAACAATATTAGATGATGTGCAAAAAAATCTTACCCCATGAGTCTTATTAAATGTAAATGCATATCCGTCAGGATTAAATATTGGGAAAATAAACCAATTATGATTGTCAGCTACATATCTTACATTCGTATCATTACTAAATAATAATTGATGCAAAATGTACATGGCAGTTGCCGGAGAAATCCATTCCCTAGCATGTATGCCACCTTCGATGAAGATTCCAGGACTGTTTTCACGATTAGTTATCTTAACGCCCTTAATTTGGCGTCCTTCATATGTTTTGCCGCCCACAACGACCTGTACTTTGTTGGGATACTTCTTAGCCAGCTCTTCCAGATACTCGTAGATTTCTTCAAGAGTATGATAGCTTTGAAAATCAAAGCCCTGTGATTGATTCTGAGGTATCGTATTGTTAATTAGTTTTTGGACATTGTCAATTTTTATTTTAACGGTTATCCTCATAATGTCTACAATTTCATAAAAACTCTGGAGCTGATTCGGAGGTACCAAAATTTGAACTTCTTCGTCTATCTTACTTGGTTGTTTCCAGAACCAGTTGTTGAACTGTAAAATAAGATTTAATTCACAATTTCATTTGACTAAAATTTAATTTTAAACTAATTGATATCTACGTATTTCTTTGTTCTATTCTTAATGTCATGACATTTATTCATAAGTTATTTTAAATATCTAACAAATTAACTTTATTTATCTCGGATAACATAAATGTGCTAAAATTTGTGCTATTTTGAACATTAATAAAATCAATTAGTTTATTATCGATTTATTAGACAAAAAATTTGCATATAAATTGTTCATATCTTTATTTTTATTAAAATGATCTATTTACTTGTTGCATGGACAATTGAAGTACTTTCAGTTGCCTATTAATAGACGGGTAAAGGCTGAAGACTTTGTAACCTTCATAGCTAACCATGTCACTGGTAACCAGGCTCACGAT